AAAAAACAATACTGATAACCTAGGTTTTATGTATTTGGGTCAATGTTTTTCCAACTTGCTTTTTTAACAACAACAGAGCACGGGACACGTTGTAGATTTCCAATTAACTTGAGTACTTTTGTAGCACACAATTAAAAAAAAAAAATCTAAGTACAAAAAACGCGCCGTTGAAACACCCTCTATCATTCACATCAACTGTACAAAGAGTTAGTTTACCGCCATAGTTTAATTCTCCAGAGTTTGTTTAAAGGTTCAGCACCAATGCTGACTGATAAACCACCAACCTTCACCAGCCAGACTCCCGTGTGTTGTTTGGCTCTAGTTAAATCGACGAATTGGCCTTTGTCTGACATGACTGGAGGGCTTTGTGTAAAGAACACAAAAAGCTTTTACCGAACTACAGTAAATATGCGCTTGGTTATTGAAAGGCAAATCGCACTATATGTAGTCAACGTGAACAATTTAGCTCATGATGAACCTGTTGGTCATCGGAGAACTTTTATATCTATTTACCCCCATCTAGTGGCCATGCGAAGAAATTAGATTTGCTTTGCATGTACGAAGATAAGTTTTTGAGTAGGATTTTTTATTATTATTATTATTATTGAAATCAAAATTGAAATGCATTAAAACACATTTGGACTCATTTAACTCTGTTTGAGTTTTCCAAGCAAGCAATATGCTATAGGCCTACGTTTTTATGATAACCACAAAATCGCAAAAAAAAAATCAACATTCACATTCTGATATTCATCCTCATTGACAAAGCTACTCTGGATTATACCTATACTACATAATTAATTCAGCAGAAATCTAAACTTTCCTGAATGGCTAAATCCAAACTGTTATGATTTCAACTATGAAAGCAAATCTCAAGAAGCCGCCACTAGATGAAGCTGTTTGACCCTCTTTTGTTACCATAGTCCTCAAAACTAGGGCCTGTTTCCAAAGGCCTGAGATCAACACAGCTAAACTGAATTTAGCATTTATAAGACCATTCAAATTGCAAGTGAAGTGTTAATAGTGACTAGATTTGTATTACCTCATATCACTTCAATCTATCAAAAACAAGTTTATTTATACTAATAATAGTTAGATAAAATAGCCTATAAATAAACTGAAGAAAAGCTCAAAGCCCCATCCAAAGTTATATAATTATTTCACCCGATGGTCAAAGAGGCTCTAAAATCTATCTGGTTTCACGTTTGACTCAGATGGTTTACACAAAGTACATCTTTCATAGACCAAAATGCTTTCCTTTCACCACATGTTCATATTTCATGTGCATTCAAACCTTTTCTGAACAAGTAGCTTTGCGAAGATTATTCACATAATATTACAGAGTGCTGAAATGAAGGGAGCGCCGTCCTTGCTGTCACTGTCAAGGACATCATATCATGAGGTGGAGGATTCTGGAACAAGCTGCGTTCGTTTGCAGACTCGACATTTTAACATCATTACAAGTGAAAGTTGTGAATGAAACAATGTGAATAAATGTTACAAAGAAAAACATGTTTGAATATCCTGCCATGTTACCCAGCAGGCCTTACAAGAGAGGAATTTATCAAGTTTGCGAGCAAAAACGGATAATGTCATTTAATGCCTCTAATCACTTACCTTGCCTATGCACGTGTCCTATAAATAAACCGGCTCAAGTTAGTAAACTTGTAAAACCTGCTTTAGTATGTGCACATTTATCTGTAACTTTCCATGCAGTTAAGAAGTTACTTAGATGATCGTTTTCATAATTGCTTTATTTGCTTGTTTTGCTTCCAGCTTAAACGGCCTGTTGTTTGAGACTTCTTTTAGACACAGCTTCCTGGGCCTCAAACACGTGAATAGCATTCTGTTCTGGATTTATGTCAGTGGTCTTGTGTGTATAGGATGCTTTGTCTTTAAAGTTCTTGAAGAAATATGTGAAACTACTTTAAAACAGTTGCATTTCCTCATAGAGACAACAAGGAGGTCCAGGCCAAACAGTTATGATGATTTTGCAGATGAGAGTTGAATGCCCTTACCATGATGCTTTGTTTAATACTGTACAGTCAGCGAAGCTTTCCTCTTAACCTCATAATGCAGTAGTATTAACAGCTGACTCTTCAGGTGCTGCATAAGTGGTTTCATGTAGAAAAAGACTAATCAAAACAAGTCAAGTTACATTTATGGTGCTTTATTTAATACACATTGTTTCAAAAACAGCTTCACAGAAATAAACAGGAAAATGAGTGTTGCAAAATTGAAATGAAATGGCTTCAGCTGTAAAGCAGCTCTACAGAAGGTGTCATTATTCAACTCAGTTTAGTTCAGTAACAGTGTAAATGTTGCAAAGTTAATCAATTATGAATTTATTTCAATTCAGCTAGATCTACAGTAACAATAACTCAAGTCAGTTCAGTGTTGATTGAATTCAGGTCATTTAAAGGATTGATGTTGCAAAGTCCAATTTCGAATCAAATTCTATTCAGCGACAAAGCAGCTCTACAAAAGACATAATCGTGTCATTATTCAGCTCTAATTTGTTTAGTGTTGATTCAGTTCAGTTTGACTTCGGTGTCAATGTTGTTAAGTTCCTTAATTATGAAAAACCTTCAAAGGCAGCTCAACAGAAGACTGTCAATATCCAGCTCAATTCAGTTCAAGTTTTGTTCTCATTCGATAGTGCCAGTGCAGTCAAGTCGATAATATTACTAAATATTAAGTGTCTTTTGAACCCCAAGCCAAAGGAGAAAGTGGCAAGGAAACAAACTCCATCAGACCCTTCTAATTCACATCAAACATGATTTAGTTTTTTAAGGACCTCCTTTCAATCCATCCTTTCACCCTTCATTAAATGTGTATGTAAACACCCTCTTCGCATGTGAAATGAGCAACAGTGCTTTGGTTTGCTGTCAGCTCCAGTATAGTTTATAACTGCCCTATCATTCAATAGCAAACTCTCTGCAAGGCCTGTATTACATTACGACAGATTCAAAAAACAATCTCAGTTCAAATGTTCCACACAAACTGTTGAGGTCAGATTGAAACGATCGGCAGCCTTGTTAAAGTAAACCTCGGCCACCTCTTCCTAACACTGGCATTCTCCGGAGGGATAAGCTTTCATTTCGGAGTGAAATTACACAGAACAATGGCAATTCTCATAGAGGTTCTCTATTTTTTCCTATATCACCAAAGATACCTGTTTTAATAAGTGTTTACAAAATGAAAGCAGACTCCAGTGTATAAATTGACCATTATTGTTCGGGAGCACAATAGCTCTCTGTGTTTTTTGTTGTTGAGTGCCTGTGTGATTTAAAGCTGCTGACAGCACCAGACGCTTACATTGCAATCAGCTCTCGCTGGCTCTCTCCCTCTGAAATTTGTATGGATGGGCACAGCCTGTCTGCTAGGTCTGGACATCAGGGCACACTCCCATTTTGGGACTGTCAGACCTCATTTCCTCATACTTAATGTGTTACACTACGATCTCTCACTCGGGTCATTCCATTTCACGTTCAAGTGCAAAGGTTTGGTGAGGGCAAAGGGATGTGTCAGCCCTTTCTAAAGGGACACTCATAAATCAACAATTTGTTGTAATAAATGACAAGATGATGTGTCAGACATTTGGTGACTTGTCTTTACGAGTGCTGTCTGTATGAGAAATCCCCATAATGTATATATTCGAAAAATCACAAGCAGAACTCTCAACAATACTATATATTACTGCATATAACAACAGCTTTTACACATTAAATACAGATAATATGATAAAAATGTACTATAGTCAACTATAATATAAAATATGACTAAATATTAAATATATTCTTCAATTACTTTCTGTTAGCCTTTTCTGCCAAACAGTCTTTTTTGATATCCAATTGTTTAGAGATTTTAAAAGTAAAGTAAACCACTATTTCGCCCAGTAGCTGTGGTGGCAAATCTTGAGTGTTATATACATATCTGGTGTTCATACTTTTGAAAATGTATCTTCTTCCACACAACAAAGATGCTATTCTCACTGTCACAGCTGAAAGCTAAATATAGTTGGATCAGCGCACATGAGATACATTCCTTGTTGTATTTTTATAACCTAGCTTTCAACGTCTGAAATAAAACACATATTGTGGAATTAAATTATACCGGTTTAAAGTAAAACACATGAATAGACATAATTCCTTATGAAAATTAACCATGGTTTTTACCACAAATAAAGCCAAACATCCATGGTTACTATAGTTAAACCATGGTAACCACAAATTAACCATGGTTTTGCTAATCATAGTTAACCATGGTATTCGTAGTAGGCTAAAACTGTGGTTATACAAATGGTAATCAATATGCCAAAAAAACATGGCTACTACAATTTGACTACAATAAAACCATGGTTAATTTTCGTAAGGGATGTATTCTGTGTAAAATGTAAGATGTATTCTGTGTCTGCTGGAGCTAGAGCTTTATCTAGTCCCCAAACACGAGGTGAGCAACAAACAGCGTTTGTGAAATAACTGTGTCAGTGTGGATGTGTTTGGTTGTTCTTTTCTGTCTGTGGAAATATCTGGCTCCTCTTTCAGACTAGCTGTTTTGTAAAAACAAAACAAATATCTGGACTATGTTGACAACATTGTTGTCAGTGTCTGTTTGCATCTTGTTGATGTAGCTGCCCTGTATAGGGAAAAACATACAATAGCGCCCAACCTAAAATACAGGTATTTGCTAAATCTTTCACAGGTTTAAACTGTTTATTTCCGAACTCGGCATCAATAAAATACAAATTTTTTCCCTCATAAACAATTTTTTTTGCCTTATTGCACCACGAAATCCATGCCCTTCCGTTCTCTTCCCTCCTTCAATGTCAAATAATAATAACCACAGCGGACAAAAGATGTTATTCTGAGTGTTTGCTGCCACAGTTACAGAAGGCTATAATAAGAAACATCCCTCACCAACACAGTTGGCTGTACTCGGCTGCGCTCGTGTTTTTTCGGAACTCTTCGCCAGCCGGCCGTCTCTAGGAAACCCCTCCCCCCATCCTCGCCAGACTCGCTGGGCTTTATGTCTGGCCGCTGTGGAGGTGAACTGCCATGCGCGGTCGCCATGTTATCGCGCTCTCCTCCCCCTTTCTGGGACTCGTCACAGGCTGATAGCACTAGCACAGGCTACATTACAAGGAGGAGGCAGCTGGTGAATAGGAGCAGAGTGGGAGAGAGACTAACACAGGACTAAAACAAAAGAAAGCACGGGATGGAATAAAGCAGGACAGCGCTGAGTCGCTCGGTTTCGCTCTGTCATCTGACGCCGGCTGAAGCACTTTGTTTCGTTTGATTTTGTGCTCTGGTGACTGCGATACAACAATTGAAATGCGCCTGGCAGTTTGAACTGTGATGGGGAGAGACTGTGTCGTTGTAAGTTTGGATATATCGATCGCCTCGGCCGTCTGTGTCGACTCCCTCACGTTTAAACGTGTGTGCTGAATGGTTTTGCGAGGAAATACGTTTGAAAACAACAGCTGAAGCGAGTCCGTGTCAGCTAGCTCGCTAGTGAGTGTTAACTAGCATTGGTGTTAGCCTGCTCCTCATGGTGGACATTTAAATACACCTCAAGTGGAATTATCGTGGCAGTTACTGGAAAGTGTTGTTTTTATGTGGAAATTACTTGAGCGGCTTCAAGTTGCTTCCCAAAAAGAGCTTGTTCACTTGAGCTGTGTTTATAACTTTGTTGGAGACCATCCTCTAGAAATGAATCACCACGACCGATCCGGGGACTCCAGCAGTGCTGGAAAAATGGGTTATCCCATGAGTTTACCCAAACGGGAGAGCAGCAGCTTGGTATGTGGTTCCTCCACATTGACAACTTCTGGAAGCACCAGTCTTAATAGCAACAACTTGATACTGGGGGATGATTATTCATCACCGGCGCTGATTCAGTCTCAAACGCCGGCTGCATCCTCGCTCGGGCCCCAGAACCCTCCCCAGAGCCTGAATATCCCTGTGCAGGCCACCCTGTTACCCCAAACTCTGCCCACCACAGTGGCGCAGATGAAGAAGAAGAGTGGCTTTCAGATCACAAGCGTTACGCCCGCTCAGACATCTGTCAGCACCAACAACAGCATTACAGAGGACACTGAGAGCTGTGATGACTTGGACGAGTCCCACACCGAAGACCTGTCGTCCTCCGAGATCATGGATGTGTCTCTTTCACGGGCCAACAATGCGGGGGGACCGGAAAGGAGCTCCTCGGAGGAGACGCTGAATAACTTCCATGAGGCGGAGACCCCAGGGGCCGTGTCGCCCAACCAGCCTCCCATTCTCACCCAAGCACACATGCATGGCTCTATGGTTAATGGTACTGTGCACCATCATCACCATAATCCTGCTTCCTCTGGAAAAGCCCATCCTGCTGGTGGGATGCAGATTGGGATATCTTTGGGTGCCGTGGTCACGTCTGCGGTGACCTCAAGTTCTGCTTGCACAGGCCAGAAAATGCCTTCAAATGTGGTAGGATTGAGTGAGAGTGCCTCTGTTGGCACAACCGCTGTCAAGCCTTTGGCCACTGTTGCCTCAGGAACTGGAATGATCTCTGTGACTTCAGGTGCCACAGTTAGTACTGGTAAACCTATAACAAATAATGTTTCTATGTTAAATTCTGCCAGTGTGCCTGTTGTGGGTGGCAAGAGCACCAACAGTAGCAGTGTAAACTACTCCCCTGCTTTGAATAGTATTAGTAACCAAATTGTAAACTTGACACACAATCCTAGTGGAATAATTGGCATGGGCATCACCACTGCTACTACCGTTTCTGGTGGTGTTGCTTCAACAGGTGGAGGGCAGGTGGGCCCAGCTGTCATGGGCCAGCACGCAATGCCTGGTCCCTCTGTCCAGCACGCAATGCCTGGTCCCTCTGTCCCGCCTATGAACGCTCAGCCTCAGCAGGCCCAAGTGCCTACTCCAGCCACCACCAGCTCACGTTTCAGAGTGGTCAAATTGGACTCTACCTCTGAGCCTTTTAAGAAGGGTCGGTGGACTTGCACCGAGTATTACGACAAGGAGGCCCCGAACGCAGCGTCCTCTGAAAACGCCCCCAGCACCCAGACAGTGGAAAGCATCCGCCAGTTTGTGCCTGAGAGTGTGGCGTGCCCGGACCGAGAGAGTGTAAGCAGCACAGCTAGCCATTATACCGAAAGCCTGGGCAGCGGAGATACGGGCGGCCCCTGTTTGACCTTCCAGCAGCCCACTGCTCAGAAGCACGAATACTCATCTACTCATAACGTGTCTCAGATGCAACCCCAAGACTTAGTTCACATGCATCTTAAGACTAATGCGGTTGCTCCGAGCATTCAGCCGCCGACTGCCATGGGAGGACTGCAGACCACAATCGGGCATTCGACTGCAGCTGTGCCCGCTCATATGCCTAAACTGACATACGCCCAGGCAGCACAATCCTCCCCTGCTCAAGCCCTGCCTGTGGTGACCCAACAGCAGATGGGCTACCCGCCAACACAGCAGCCGGCTGCACCGACCCAGGTAGCGCTGGCACACATTAACCCCTTAAGCCAAGGAGGCAGCTTGCCACCTGACTTCACTCAACCCAAGCAGATCATGAACACTGTGCCACCTGGGTCAACACAAACACTTCCCCACCTGTCTGCCCCCATCCCTCCGGTGGCGGGGAATGGTCAGCTGATTGCAGCTTCGCAGCAGCCCGTGGGGACTGTGCCACCCCCTGCTGCTCAACCCCCTCCGCAAGGGCTCCTACAGCAACAGTCACCCGCCCCGCAGATGGTCCAGCTGGTGCAGCCCGCCAGTGCTGGTCTCATACAGCAGACCCAGGGGCAGCAGCTCGCCCCTCAGCCCTCCATGGAGCAGCAGCAGTCGCAGCTCAGCAGTCAAGGCCGCGGCACCCAGTTCGTCCCGGCCTTGACCTCCTCAAACGTGCCTCCGAACCTCCAGAGTGAGTCCAGTTTGATCCAGAACGGCTCGAAGGAACCCGGGCCTGCGGTGAGCACCCTGCCCTCTGTGATGCCCACCCTGCAGGAGGATGCCCAGCTCCTGTTACAGCCCCCGGCTCTGCTCACGCAACCCAAGCCCGCCGGTGCTGAAGTTTCCTCCCAGGTCGGCACCTCCCGTGGTCCTGAAGGAAGCGGTGGAGTTAATGCCTTAACTGCCTCGGCCAGCCTGCTGAAGAGCTTACCTGTGGATGGAGAAGAGGATGGGTAAGTTTCAGATTTTTTTTTTTCAGTGCATTGTCTGTTTACTGTTTCCAATTCATTTGCTTTTGTAATTACAGCTTGAATAGCTTCATTAAAAATTACACATACAGGCAGTGGGTGATCAGTGGTATGGCTTGATGTAGTGCTATAAACATAAATGGTGCTGTGCATTAAATATCACAGCAGGCCGGTTACAGAAGGAGGCCTATAGGCTTCTACAGCATAGCTAGAAGTGTTTTCTTCATATAACACAAAACTGCAGACTGCTAGACTGTTACTGTGGTATTATAGACAGAAATGTAAATGCTTTGCTCTGCAAAGCATCCCAGCCTGCCTTTAAAGACCCCATGAAATCACTTTAGAGTGCAGTGATTTTGTGCTGTTGACATTTCCTTATTAAACAGGAAGTTAGGGCAGGAGCCAGTAGACTTTTGTTTGCTTCACATCCACAAACATGATTTTTTCCCCCCTAGCTGTTGCTTGTGGTATTAATGGGTTATTCTAAAGAACATTTCATTGGACAAAAAAAGTGAGTGCAGGATGAGTCAACATTATTTTGAGTAGATTTAGTAAGAAAACGTTTGGATGTTTTAAATGTGTATATCTGTTAAAAGTGAATTGTCATCATTTAAGGGAAACACTAGCATTTAGGTGGCATCTGAGCTAACATTTTATGGACTAAAAGCTGGAAATGTAAGAAAAAATAGGCATTTTGCGACTATTTAGCTTGCTGCAGGCACTTTTTTTGAATGGTTATCATTTGTGACATGTTTGCTTAGCTGTAACTATTAAGGGCAAAAGAGATCACTGGAGTGCATCTGTTTAAACTCTTTGGTTGTTTCTAATTATTGCAGATACAGCACTATACTCTTTTAGTAGACGCGAGCTGATTAACATACCTGAAAATATATTTTCTCATTCTGTTGATATTCTTTCCAAGTTTTTTAAAGACTCAGAAACCCATTCTTCACAGTTTTCTCCCGGCAAGGCCGAGAATGTAACCTAAATACGGTTGCTTACATACTGCTAAACATTCTGCTAATACTGTGACATATGTTTGAATTTGTCTTGAGCTGTTCAGAAGAAACAGGCGTGTGTGTTTATGCTGTACAATGTTTATGAGTTGGTCATAAATGAAGTTTCCTGTGCTTGACAGAGCTTGTCTAACAGATGTCCCAGGGATGACAGGGTGCTCTGTAATCTGACACTCCTTAATGAAACCGACAGTTTTGTCACAGTGCACACACATCATTGTGGCACTGCTTGTTTCTCTCAGGTGTTAGTCATAATCTTACTTAGTTATTTGTCTGGCTTTACTATATAACAATGTCACAGACCAGACTGAGACCCTCTGTTCTGTTCAGATCTATGTTTTAGACATAAAGTAAAATGTAGTCTTCCCAAAACATCAGACCCTTATTAGGATGAATATCACAGTTGTATTACACTTGATGACCTTATAAATTGTTGGTCAGCACTAACTGTCAGCCACAGTTAGATAGTCCTCTGTATACCTGCAATATCTGGACAATATATCTGTGTTAGTGATGTAGCTTTCAGTCTTTTGGCGAGATTCAGTGTAGGCTATATTTTGAAATGTATGTATTTGCTCTTGAATAGTATAGGCTCTTTTCTATCAGAGCATCATCACTTTAACAAACTCAGACATTTTTTCCCCCCAGGTTGATTCCCTAAAATAAAATGCACAACACGAACATTTTATAAGCTCTTAAAGGGGTCATATGATGCTTTTTTAAAGATCATTATTTTGTGTATTTGGTGTAACATAATATGTTGACATGCTTTAATGTTCAAAAAACACATTATTTTTCAAATACTGTACATTATTGTAGGTCCTCTATGCCCCGCCTCAGCCGTTTTAGGGGGGCGTGGCAGAGTCTTAACTTTGATAAAGAATATCTCTTTGGTTTTGAGACTTTAGTCTTTGCAACTTCAGGGATCTTATCTATGCACAATCCGCTTGTAACACTCCAAAGAGAAAGGAAAACTTGAAATCGCATCATATGACCCCTTTAACATTAAGTCAATGCACTCATGCTCACAAGTTAAATGTTGGGGATGAATTGTGAAAATAGTGTAATGAAACACTCTTCAGGAAACTTAATGACCAAATCTATGCGTGTTTAACTCATCATATCCGCAATGTCACTTTTTGTATGACCAGGAAACAGTCATCCTGAACAGTCAATGTATTATCCAGATAGCCAGGAACAAGATCATTGTTAAATTTAACTTGGCATGTTGACAGCTTGAGGCTTTTTTGATGTTTGATCATGTGATTGAAGTAACGTGGAACACTAAAACTTCTATTGGATTCAGATCTATCTTTCAAGGCTTGTTATCCTTGTAAGATCTGTTTTGTTGTGTGTATCATGGCTGTCCTTTTTGACTGGTGCCATTATTTTTGGTGTGATTGTGTTTGGGTGACGGACAGTAGGACTACCTAGAGAGCCAGCCATTTCAAATATAACACAGACTTTCGCTCCTCAGTGAGCAAACAATCTAATTTCAACCTGTTTTATTTCTTTGTTGTGAAAGGCTATCAGCTGGTGCTGTTTTGGTGTAGAGCGTGAGGCCACTTATACAGGATGAGATCATTCAGTTTTCTCCCATTTTGCTCTTGCTCAATAGCAGATTAAGTCAGCACAAATTATTTTAATCTGTTTTTTTGCCGTTCTTAGGTCACAGTGTTGACTAGCAGCCTCGTAGAGAAAGATTATCATCTCACATTTGCTTTTTTTCAATGTAATCTGCTCTTGGCAATGATAAAAGCCACACATGAGAGTCTCAATGAATCACTCATTGTGTAGAGATCAAGTAGATTATCTCTCCAATTAATGACCCTGTGGAGTGGGAGAGGAGAGGAAATGCTTTCACTCGTCCAGATCGGGCCAGAGCAGATAACATAGCAGAACTTAAAGCGGCAGTACATGTGTGCTTTCTCTCTGGGTCCCTCAGTGAGAATCGTTTTCATTGCTTTCCCTGTCTCTCTTACATGGATAAATTAGACAGAAATGAAAATTATCGTTATGTACTCATTCTTTTATATGCTTTTTTTTTTTTTTTAAAGAGATGTAAGCCATAATGTAAGAGTTGCTCTTTTTCATACATTGTTGATGGTACTGTCAAGCTCCAAAAAGGAAAAAAAGCATCATAAAAGTGTTAATTTGGTGCTGTGGTCCTTCTTCTGAAGCCATACAATAACTATCTTTGAAGAACCGACTGAAATTTTTGACCTTTTTAGACTTTTACCGAAATACTCGTGAGAACATATGATATTTGCCCTCAGTGACGCCACACCTTGGGATGAGTTGCACATTACAAATGAATGGCTAGTTTTTAAGTTTTTAACATTTTTAGGGCCCTATGAAATCCTTTTTTCCCTAAAATTTGTTTTCAGTTTAAATTTTTTGGATTCTGTCTTAAAGGGTTAGTTCACCCAAAAATGAAAATTAGGCTGTGTTTTTTAATGTAGCTTGCACTCACTGTTGTACACGGAAGCAGTTCCGGGCGGATGACGTATGAGTTCAGCTTTGTGCCGCTCCGAAGTGATGCACGCGGAAGCACAGGGGAGAGATCAAAACAACAGTCACGAATTAGAAGTACAAAACGAGGATTTGTACAGAAGAATGTCTGAGGATTTCGATCTAAGCCAAGAGGAGACTGGTTTTCCTTTGCTAAAGTAAGGAAACTTTGCTTCCTTTGCTCCTCTTAACAAACATTGGTTTTCACGAGACTCACCGGCGCATGCGTAACGCCGACCTCATACTTCATCAGCCCGGAGCTGCTTCCGTGTACAACTGTTGGCGCAAGCTAGATTAAAGTGATTATTACGTTTTGAATATGGATATTTTTCTTACAAAAGCGCATCGATTCACTACAGGAGGCCTTTGTTCATGCTCCGGATCCATGTGAGACACTTTTTTATTTTTATTTTTTTTTTTATGGGTGGGCACTTTTTATTTCACTTCTTTTGGACTGAAGCACTGCAACACCCGCTGACTGCAGTGATAGAGCTTGGAAGAGCCAGGACAATTTTTAATATAACTCCGACTGGATTCGTCTGAAAGAAGAAAGTCATATATACCTAGGATGCCTCGGGGTGAGTAAAACACAGCCTAATTTTAAATTTTGGGTGAACTAACCCTTTAAAAGTTTCAGTGTGCATGTATGATGATTTTTTTCATCAAATTAAACCGTAAGATGCTCACGAAGAGACTCTCAGAGCAGTGTAGGCTTGTCCTACAAGTTATTCATCTATTTTTTCTTTAAGACTAATCAAAATTTTACAGATTTTGTTAGATAAAAACGTAGATTGGTTTAAGTTGAATCCAAAAGCAAAACAAAAAACAGACTGATTACACTTTGGCTAACTGCTAGTTGCTCAGACTAGTTAAGACAGACAAGACAAAATAACACCATTCAAATGGAGACATGCAGTACATGCAGATGTCACGTGTCTTCAGTATGCTTCAATATTGCGATTTGATTAAGTGGACAGCCCTACTTTTTACTAATTCGTCCAAAATGTTCAAAATTATGTGAATTTATTTTTGTAAATTAAATTATGACTGGATTACACATTTCTGTCTGGGTTTTTCCGCATTATGGAAATCATAGGGCCCTAATAAAGATTTTCTTCACCCGATCTTCACATCTCCATTGTATGGCTTCCCGAAAACTTGAAATATAGAACATAAGGTGTATAGACCATGTTTATATGTGCTTTTATTTTTATTTTATTTATATTGAAACTTGATATAAATCAAGATTTTTTTTTGTTGTTGAATGCAACCGAACTGCTCAGACATTTTGGCTAGCATCTCTTTTTGTTTTTCACGGATGGGTAACAATAATACGGGTTGGAATGACACGAGGGGGTGAGTAAATGATAAAATGTTCATTTTTGGACAAACTTTCCCTTTAATGTGGTTTTTAGCTGCATCATTATCAAACATCAGAAGGGTCATTCTGCATCTGTA